TTCTATATCTCACTCTGCCGATACCGGACACGTTAGTATTTGTTTAGCCGTCTTGTCCACCCCTCCGCTTGAATGATTTTGGAGGTCCCAAAAGACTTGCAGAGCTCTACAATCGTGTAGAGCAATCGTCTTTGTTTGTAGGTGCACCCAACTTGTGTTTACGTTTGTGTGGGCGGGAGACTTTCAAATTTTTTATTTTGGGGTATTTTTTGTTTTAACTTTATTTTATTAAAACATACACACGCCCCCTATGTTATAGCAGATTGGGGACGACAGGTTCCCTTTAAGGTGACATTAGGGTCTTTTAGACCCCTAGTGTCTTCTTTCGACTTCAATAGCGTTGGCTGGGGAATGGCAGGTGAATGGAAACATAGCAGGCAGTGGGTGGGTGCATAAGCGAGCTTGTTATTGCACCTGCCCACTGCCTGCTGTCAATCACCAGGGGAGACACCTGAAGGATAAAGTTCTGAAGAGGAAGGTTTGGAGCTCTTCTCACCCCTGGGCATCGGCTACAGGGGCCTGTGTCCCTGCTGCTCCCAGAGACACAGAACCCATTAAACACAGCAGAATCCACTAATCAACGAAAATCGTTGACAACCATTCTCATTATCGACGATCATCAATTTAAATCGATTTTGTTGTTGCAGCCCTGCTAATTGTGTTCTAAATATGCGTGAGGGTCTCTTTTTGTGCATTGTTTGTAAGTAAGCTTAGTAAGCTAGGACATTTTATTCCGCAGTTATGAGGTGTAGGCACCTTGGGGTTACACATGCCTGAAGCAGTTTTCTTTACGCTCTCTACATACATTCCTACTGCCCAGATGGGCTGCCTCATTGGCAAGTACAAATGATTGACCAAGCTCTGTCACTACACATGAATACACACATTAAATGTCTTTTGTACGTGCTTGCATCACATAACGATCGCTGTTTCCCTTGGCACACCGCACATACGTCCATGCATGAATACTTACAATAATGCTCAAGGTTAGGGATAAATGTGCATTAGAAGGTAATGACTTAGGACCCTATTTAAAAAAAATTCAAATAACCCACACATTTTGTGAAGTAGAGAGTTGTGCGTTACAAAATATGGTCTACACTCTGCTTGCTTCAGGACTCCTGCGGCAGAAGATGACCCTGGCCATATGAACTGTTAGTCATGTGACCGCTCTTTCTGTCAAGTAACTGCATGCCACCAGCACACCCGATATAATTCAAAGCAAACGTCCGTTATTGATGCATAGTGCCACATAGGTCGCAATGTTTCGGGTCCCTTCAGCCCGATACTGAGCCTGGTGAAGGGACCCTGCGTGGCTCTGAAACATTGCCATCTATGTAATGATATGTGTCAATAAAAGACATTTGCTTTGACTTCTATCTGGTGTGCTGGTGGCATCCTGTTACTTTGATTTGAGCAGCACCATCTGCAGTCATTGTAGCACCCGACTTATATGGGTTTTCCGGTAAGGAGTACGCAGGGTGTATTTCCTGGTCTTTCTGTCAATAGCCCAATTTTCTTTGCAGCTCCTGTTGCAGGTGGATGCTTGAAATTTGATTTTGTAGCTCAGCACAGGCATCCGGGACAAGCAGTGAGCCGGGCACAAGCAGGAAATTAGGTTTCTGACAGCATTACGACTACTGACCTTAGTGTTGGAAGAATGTCCTTTTGAGATCACTGGGATCATTATGTGGTCAACATTTTTTTGTTTTGCTCAACCCTTTGTTTGCACTGCCCCATGTGTATCTTGCCACCAATCAGAATACATGTTTGATCTGTTGCTATTGCTAGGTAGAAAGCGATAGCCTTAAAGCCCATGGGTTGATATGAATATTGTCTCCATTTTACCTTATCCATCGCTTGTTATCCGTTGCCTGTTGTCCTAAAACTTTCATGGGACTAATTTGTTTTTTTTCTTTGACAGATACTCAACCTGAAACGGCTTTATTCAAATGACATTCATGCAATGGCACACACATATGGCATAGAGGCTGCCTTGAGGGTAGTCGAAAAAGAAATTAAAGATGTGTTCGCCGTTTATGGTAAGTTACTCTGGCCTGTCTCACTTATCCACAGCAATCAATCAAGTTCCCACTTCCTTTCTTGCAAAGGAAGTATACGATTGGCTGCTGGATAGAATAAATGGGGCTCGATGTGTTTGATATAATCGTTTAAACTGATGTAAGCCATGCTGTGATCTTTGTTCCTAACGCAGCCTTTTTTTCCACCATTCTCATCCAGCCGTTTTTTCTGTTCATTCCACTTAGGTATTGAGGTGGACCCTCGTCACCTCTCCCTTGTAGCAGATTACATGTGCTTTGAAGGAACATATCGTCCCCTCAATCGCTTCGGCATGCAGTCCAGCTCCTCTCCTTTCCAGCAGATGACATTTGAGACCAGCTACAAATTTCTGAAGGATGCCACCATGGCAGGTAATTATTATCAAATAGAAATATATAGATATGTGTCTAGAACCAACATCCAGCAAAACAAAAATAGTGTGGCGACACACTGGGGGGCTTCAGCTGCCATTGTGATGTGCTGGGCTTCTGGTGTGTGCCTGTGCATTCAAGGAGAAATGGACTACCTGCACCTAATTCATCCTTTGCTCCAAGATGGAGGCTCTCAAAGATTAGAGTTGAGACCACACTACACAGGGGAGCTTGGACAAGGCAGTGCGGCATCCACATATTTTGCAAAGCACAAACTTTTGTTTTAACGTAAGTCAAATCCCAATTTTTTACGCCACTTAGCTACCAGGCAATTTGTTCGCCAAGCCCTGTGTGAGCAAGCAGATTACACAGAGTTAGTGTAATCTGTTTTTTTTTTCCGGCAGGCTGGCTGGTAAGTGTGCTGGAAATTTTTGGTGTTTGCACTTTAGAACAACCATCCTTCACAGCCCTGTAAAGAATTGTGATTTATATGGATAGGACAATAACCTCACATGCTGGCAATGAAAAACTTACAATTTTATGAAAAGAGATAGACATGGCAGCAGTAGACGTGTTGTAGATAACCGTGTAGTGATAGGGAGACGTCTGGGGAATTGCTTTTAAAGAATTTTGAGGCTCATTGAGTTCCTGAATGCATATGGAAGTGTATTTCAGAGAAGAAGACTTGCACCAGGGAAGTCATAGAGGGAGACTAGATCAGACAGGTTTTAGATGACTAAGAAAAAAATAAATCTCTGAAAAGTAAGCTCCAGTTCTTGGGGTGTAACGTGGCGGCATTGATGAAACAAAGGACAGATGTGTGCACAAAAGAAAAGGATTTGACAGGTTGATATTGGCCATTGTTACTGCTTCCAAAAAAGGGAAATGTGTTTTCAACACGTATAGCATCTTATAATCGATACCTAAATTGGTCACATTACTTGAAGTCATAGTCTATATGACGGCTGTCAAATGTGAAAATGAAGCCTTAGAATGCATACTGGGAAGCCAGCGTACCTGCACAGAGCTTCATGTAAGCCTGTCGCCAACCTGCCAGTGCATAATATAAAAAAAAATTCAATGAAGATAGTTTTGTAAAAGTTTGTTACTCCAATATATATTGTTATATCTGTGTCCATCTTAATTTAAAAGAGAATTATGGGGTAAGTGTTTTTCCCCATAGTTCTCTTAAGAGTCAGGGAGGACATATACTAATTTCTTCCCGTGACCCAAAGCTAAGTATATCGCGAGCTACAGCTCGTGGCATACTGAGACCGCCGCAGCCGGGACGGATCACAACAATGCTGTCGAGATCCACCTAGCTGCGCGAGTGACAGCTGGCTCCGCCTATGTAGAGGTGAGTGACAGTTGGTGCGGTGAGTGACAGTTGGTGAGATGACCGGGAAGTGAGCGAGCGACGGTATGTGTTCTCTCACTTTTCAATCTATTGAGCGACGCGTGACAGTTTCATTGTCGCACGTCGTCTCGAACTATGAAGAGGAGTGATTTTCACTCGCCTCATAGTTCTCCTTTTTTAATAAAAAAAAGTCCCTTTTTTTCATCGCTTTTCTGATCTGACCACACAAAGAACAGGAGCAGATCCCTGCTGGCGTAGTCAGTTTAAGCCTCAGTTCTTTCCTCTTTGAGATGGACGATGAGCAGACGCACAACATGCCTTTATCTTCTGTAGTGTGTTCATCACACCCAGTGCTCAGTCCTGGCTTGACAGCGACTACCAACAAGAGCTTTGCTGTCTGACTGTAGCCAGTAGAGCATCGCCGTTCGCCACAAACAGGTCATTAATCTAATCTTGTGGGAATGCAGTGTACACAGACAGGGAATGTACTTCCCTGTCTGTGTGTGACGTCATTGACTATCAAAGTGTAAGTGCTGAGAGGTTTCTCGTGGGCACCAATCGCATCCAAAACTGCCTTGATAGCTTTATTCTGATTTGTGATACATCAGCTATAATGAGAGGAAGCTGACCTTCATATTCAGCGTGTCAGAAGCTCTTTGCAATCTGGATTACATGGATCTCGCATGAAGGTCAGCGAAGTGGACTTTCTGATTTTACCACCATTGAGAAGGAACTGAATTCTGGAAGCTGTGCCCAAACAAAGAGGGCAAAGGATTATTCAGCAGTATTGCCGGTAGGCTCCCTGCAGCTAATCTTTGCCCCTTACTGAATGCCATGTTGTGCGATATGCCTCTGTGTGGAGGTAGCCATCTATATTGGCAGGGCTTTGCTTCCTTGTGTCATAGCCCCCAGAGGATAGTGAGTAGCAAAGTAGTGACCCCACTAAATCTCACTCTATATCTAGTAACATTAGCAGTCAGTAGCAGTGCCTGAGAGCTCACACTGCAGATGTACACCTATGAGGCTGTAGGCACAGGAATGCCTAGGCACCTTCACATACCAGGAAGTGCCTGCTATTTTTTAGTAGACATTTCAGGTAAAAGGTAATTGTTTCCCAGTACTGCTTAGGCACAATTAAAGGCATGTTCCACTTAAATGCACCCATACTGCAAAAAGGAAAAAAGTGTGTTTTATAAATGTTTTGCATTGTAGCCTGTATGGATTGCAACCGCGATCGTTGGATAGTGGGCGCAATGTATAGGTTCACGCACACTGTTCCTCCAGCCCCCGGTCCCTGCCCAGTCGTGTTCTTCTGTTATGAGGATGGAGAAAGTTATTAATGGACTACAAATGTGTGCCGTCATTGCATTTGTACTACATTGAGATTTACCTGTCCCTCTGTTGCCGTGGCAGATGGGACTTGTAGGCTTTTAATCTACTGATCCTGAATATGTATCCATGAATGAATGATGTGGCTGTGTGAGTAGAGCCATCCCAAATTCAACGGAAAACAGAGGCCCATGGGGAGAACCAGTCCAAAATACAAGTGGGTGGGGGCGGGGGCTGCAGAATGGCACCATGTTGCATCCTACATTTTGGTGTGATATTGGGCATGGTAGTAAAGGTGTAATTAGCCTTTTACATTTTTGATGTTCCCTATAAGAGCAAATATTTTTTTAGTTTAGTTCCACTTTAAAATACCTCCTGGGCATCTTTAATAGCTAATTGAATCACTTTACTTGTCTAATTTTGGTTTTAAATACCCAAAGGATTTTTTTAAAATCTTTTACGAGAAACAATTTGTGTCTTAGCCTAAGTGAACTGATTTTTATATGTGCAGAGGTTGTGAGGTGTTTGTGAGAAGTAGGTGAAAAGCTGGAGCTTTGTGTTACCATGAGGTAAGCACAAAAGGATTTTTGCAAAGTAATCTGACATTCTGCAAATACTTTCCATATATACAATACACAGGAGCCACCCACATGACAGGTGGGGTGTGGGCTTCTATTTTTGCATCCCTATGTCATCTCATTCAGACAGGATATTAACACAGACACCTACTATGCTGTATGACATTATTAGTAGGGATGCGCCGAAATTTAGTCCACCAAAAGACAACGGCTGTAAATGGCACTTTGGGCAAAATGCCGAAAGTGCCATCTTTCCGCCGAAATTGCGGTGCATTCCTGGTTTCTCTCCTCCCCGCTGGGCACTGCTCTGTGTCCCTGCAGACACCCGTGCTCTCCTCCCCGCTGAGCACTGCTCTGTGTCCCCACAGACACCCCTGCTCTCCTCCCCGCTGAGCACTGCTTTGTGTCCCCTCTGACACCCTTGCTCTCCTCCCTGCTGGGCGCTGCTTTGTGTCCCCTCTGACACCCGTGCTCTCCTCCCCGCTGGGCGCTGCTTTGTGTCCCCTCTGACACCCGAGCTCTCCTCCCCGCTGAGCACTGCTCTGCGTCCCCGCAGACACCCGAGCTCTCCTCCCCGCTGAGCACTGCTTTGTCCCCGCAGACACCCGAGTTCTCCTCCCCGCTGGGCGCTGCTTTGTGTCCCCTCTGACACCCGAGCTCTCCTCCACGCTGGGCGCTGCTTTGTGTCCCCGCAGACACCCGAGCTCTCCTCCCTGCTGGGCGCTGATCTGTGACAGATCAGGTAGAGCTGTGTGGGTGCAGAGACGGCTGTCACAGGAGACTGAGCTGGCGGTGAGGTGGAGGAGTCAGCTGTAAAAATAGACCGAGCTCTCGTCCGCAACGCCGGCTCAGCCTCCTGTGTCCGCGAGTCAGGATAGAGAGCGGGTACAAGCAGTCAGCAATCAGCTAATCGCTGTCTGTTCATAATTGAGGCCATAGTATGTTTACCGTGTCCCCAATTATGAATGAACAGGGAGTGCTTTGCATCACTTCCTGTTTATCATGATTGTGGACATAGTGTGTGTACTATGTCCACAATTGATGGAGGTGCCCTCCGCACACCTTTCAGCAGTCCCGGCCAACAATCAAATAAATGGTGCTCGAAGTAACTAACACATCTCTTGCCTTGAAGAAGGGACCCTGTGTGGCCCCGAAACGTCGGCTCATGTTGGATTTCTGTGACATCATTGTCCATTAAAAGGACTCATTCATTTTAACTTATGGAGTGCTGGTGACCTATTTTCTTCAATACTATGTCCACAAGCTATGAATGAACAGAAACACTCAGTATAGAGGCTTCCTGTTCAATCATAACTGGGGCTGCAGAAAAAGAGATTGAGGGCTCTGTGTCCTCAATCTCTTTTTCTATTTTGAAGGGGAAATATCAGGGGACATTTTTTTTTTTTTTTTTAGACCCCCAATATTTCCCCAAAGCCTCTGACGGGACAGTAGAGTAAAAAAAAAAATAAAGTTTAAAAATTATAAAATATTTTTAGAAAATGTAGAAAGGTAAGAAAAAAAATAAGTTTCAGTTTCGGCCCGACATTTCTTTTCATTTGTTTCAAAATGTCATTTCGGCGCACCTCTAATTATTAGTAAAGGCCTGCTGGATTGCAGTAGAAGAAAAAATTAGAACCTGGCCATTGAATGCCCCATCCCCCAGTCATTGGCCGGCCAAGGCTATAAATATTGTGTATGCCTGTCTTTGTTTCCTCTGCTGAGCCTCCGTTTCCTCTTCACACACACTAGTTTTTTGTTCTACTTGTTCTGTTTCCTAGTATTCTAAAACAGCAAATGGTGGTTGTTGGCAGCTCAGATAAGTGGAACATCATAGCATCACAGATGACCTCCGGAGTCTTCTGATAGTGATAGGTCTTCAGAGTTTGAACATATAGCTTACTAAACGATTGAAGCCCTTTACAAAGGAGCAATGCTTCCCAGTTTGAGAACTGTTTGCAGTAACTGATCTGTTTCTGAACATCTGGGGAAGGATGTGCTGCACCACCAAGTGTTCATTGGGCATTCATTAACACACAGGTTCGCTATAGACTAATGAGATTAATTAACTCTCTGGCTTTATGCACGTCTTTGCTGCTCCAGCAGTCGGCTCTCCCCATCAGAATTTCTTTAGTGTTCCTCCTGCCCTGAAATATTAAAGCCAGAGACACTGGCATTTTCAGAAGCAGGTCAGCAATGGCAAACTTCCATCGTTCCAGCAGTTAAGGTTCTGTTTTATGAAGGGAAAGAGCAGTCACACACTTCTGGCACCAACTCAATCCTTGAGGAACCCACACCAATTGGATAGAAAAAAAATGAACACAGCTAATTGCAAGCTTCCTCCAAATGATCACACGGGGCAGGGGGTGTCATGTCTGAGGCAGAATCGGTCCAAGAAGTATGTGATAGCCCTGAATGACTCCTGAACAACTCTGTTCTTCTGGAAATAGCGGCTGAAGGCCTTGGCCAATCGAGTGCCGTGATCTCTGATGTGACAATGAATAAATAGCTATAGGTGTTATACTACAATGTGAGAGACATGCATTTAAAGTAAAGTAAAAAAAAAAAAGTTAAGCATGGCCTGTCAAAGCAAAGTAGCTAATACTTGCCTGCAGCATTGAAAATCTAAGCTCTGTTACAGACCCTGGCACTGCCAATGGAGTCTTTTACACCCAACACTTCAAGGTTCTACCACTGACCAAGCTTTTTCTACATCTGATACTTCGGGTGCTTCCAAAGATAAATAATATGCATTGGTAAGGTCTGTTGCTTGGTCCTCCTCTGCACTATGTGGTTTCTCCTCCAAACCCTTCACTGTAGGACACAGTAGTGTCATAGGGGCTGTCGGGAGGAACCACAGTGCCCAGCGAGGGGAGCCAGGCATCCCACATTCCTGCAGAAGCTTTGTCAGCAGTAGAGAGCGACGATTGTCATTGCGGACAGTGGAACTGGTAAGCTTTTACTGGTTGGACTTTGTTTAAGTTTTTTGGAAGCAACGGAGTGGCTTTAACATAAAATATATCTGATATTTTGGTCCATTTTAAGTTCCAGCTCAGAAGCTAAAGTGGACCAGCCAAGGCTGTGGTGAGCGCTTGTGTGTATAAAGTGCTGCAGTTCAATGAACCTTTTCTGTCTAGGTGTAGGAGAGAACGTAAATCACCCCCCTATCCTTTACAGCCAAGGAAGGCGCCATCTTGGCCTCTGTTCTAATTGCAATCGCCATTGGTGTTGCATATGTGATCAGCTGTGAAAGTTGGATTGAGAGTTGAAATCCGCTTATATTGTAAAGCGCTGCGCAAACTGTTGGCGCTATATACATCCTGTATAATAAAAAATAAGCGCGCTGGCAACCTTGACAGTTGGCATACCTTAAAAGTAACTGTTAGACATTCAATTGGTGGGTAAGGTTCCTCTGTAACTGTTTTGGGAGACATTACTTTGGTGGGTGAAGCTGGCATACACCTATAGATTATCTATGGACATTTTCTATGGTCAGATGGGAAAAAGTGCAACACATTACTCCATCTACGCTAAACTGTGTGTATGGAGGAATCTCGCACTGGGCCAAGCTTCAGTATCTTGCTAGTCGGCCCCGTTGGCTGTCAAAATACCTGATCAATGCCTGCATCCAATCAGATTGTTCAGGTGTTTTGAGGGCCAGCGGGGCCGACTAGAAAGATACTGTAGCTTGATGGAGGAATCTGTTGCACTTTTTCCCATCTGACCATAGAAAATGTGCAGAAAATCTATAGGTATATGGCCGGCTTAAGGTTCCTTTTAAACTGTTTTGGGAGACATTTAAATAGGTGGGTCAGGTTCCTTTTTAAGTGTCGGGCACATGACCCAAGTGCCCCATCTTGGCCCTTGAGTGGCCAAAATAATTGCCATTGTTTTCTGAGCTAATTATAGGTTAAAAAGCGGCCTCGGGCGTCCCAGTGACTAGTAGAACCCGTGCTTGTGGTGAAAGGGAGTTACCGCTGCGTATCCTGCAGGCAGTAAAGTTTCACCTTTTACACTCTTCCAAGTGCTCAATTAGCATGGATGGATAGTAGTGGTGGTAGCAGTAGTAGATATAGCGCCAACAGTTTGCGCATCGCTTTACAATATAAGGAAGACATTACAATACTATTCAGGACAAGAAGGTAAGGCGCGCCCTGCCCCTGAGGGCTTACAATCTATGACCGCAATGGGTGTGCTGCTATCAGAATACCCAAATGGTGACGACAGCTGGTTGGCTGCACCCACAGTTCAGCCAAGAAATTTGGCTGAACTGTGCTATCGCTAAGGACACACACTGGTCCAAACTCAAGCAGTGCATGGCCAGCTTAAGTCATCCCACTATACGCACAAGTCAAGAAAGAGCTGCTCCCATCAGTCCCTGGTGTCACTTGTATGTAAAAGCATACCAGCTCTAGGAAGCATGAATATACTTGCCTTTCCAGAAGCCTGTTTCTTGAAACACCTCTTCCCCCTGCAGCATTCTATGGTTGTTCCCATATGCTTAGAGTGTCTCCCATCCTATGGAACTCTCTACCCCAACCTGTCCATCTATCTCCCTCACTGACTGCCTTTAGGTGATCCCTTCAGGGGAGCCTAACCCACCTCAACCTAACCACTGAACAATCACTTTCTCAAATAATCATCCCCACACAGCTACCTCCTCATGTATCACTTGCCCCTCCTTTTAGATTGTAAGCCCTCAGGGGCAGGGCCCTCCTTACCATCTTGTCTTGAATTGTATTGCGACTGTAATGTCTTCCTTATATTGTAAAGCGCTGTGCAAACTATTGGCATACAGCATATAAATCCTGTATAATACTATATTATACAGTACAGTGATGCTTATACATCACTAGAGGACTAATGAGCCCTAGGGAGGAGCCACTGTGTGCAGCGGGGGGGGGGGGGGGGGCTTGCATTGTCCGGGAAACAGCGAGATGGTGTTTTAACACACTGTCCATTGGACTGGCAGATATATTCATGCTTCCTTAGCAGGTATGCTTTTATATATGTGGACATCAGCTTAACTCCTCCATAGATACAGTACAGTGAGGGTCACCACCATGGGTCACTTGGCAGATCACCAGGTGAAAATAGAAAGACTAAAAAGAAGAAAACGAATGCAGTCACCACAGACCAGGACTGGTAAGCTGTTACATTTTTGTTTTGGTGCGTAGATAAGTTTTCCCATATTACGTATTTGTGCCTTGAGGTGTTTTGTGGCGCACTGCATTAGGCAGCCCCTTCAAAATGAATGTGTTGCAAGGCGCATGAGAAATCGGGTGATTAGTATTATGTGCTGTGGTGTTGAGGTGCATTGGTGTGCCATTGAAAATAAATAGCGTTGCAGCACACATGCACATGCCACAGCAGCCCGGTGTGAACATGTCCCTATAGGCATGCAGCTGAATACCAAATTTGAAATCCACACACGTGAACTCCAATCTGCCAAACGATTTGTAACTCCTTGCAGTCACTTTGATTCAGACAGACGACACAGCCAGGAGGGTAAACAATCTTCTACCTTTACAGTTAAGGAATACATTGTTGTCACGTCCCCAGTGCAGTCTTCTGATTGGACAGTAATACACGTATGGGTCATCTACTCTGCTCTCTACTCCTGTCAGCACATGTCTGTCACACTGTCTTACTAGTGCCTTTTGAATTCCTAGCATACTAATATACCGTTACAGCACAAGTTAATGGAAATATAACTCGTACATATTTTATTTTTTCTAACAGGTGCGAAGGACGATCTCCAATCCCCATCTGCGTGTCTGGTAGTTGGAAAAGTTGTGAAAGGCGGCACGGGATTGTTTGACCTTAAACAGCCAATGAAGTGAATCTCCCGGCCGCCTGCCAAAGGACTAACAGACAGTGCCTTATACAGCCTGCCAAGACTCCAGCAGCTGTTCTCTCTCTCTATAGACTTTCATTACACGTTCTCTCTTGGCTGCTGGAGACCCGAGGGCGGTCTCTGGAGTCCGCCGGATCTGGATATTCCTCGCCGCTGTGTTTATGCCAGACCCAAAAGGTCACCACTTACACCTTGGAGACTTGTCCATGAAAAGTAACGATTGGAAGGGAATGGCATTCCCCGACCTGAGGCCTTGTAAATGTTTACACATGTAAAATAAAGTCTGCGCTCTGGGACTGTGCGGCTGGACACGTGCTTATACAATAGAGGAGTGTGTATGTATATATGTATGTAATATATATATATATATATATATATTACGATTAATTTCTCGATTAATCGTTAAACTTTTTGATCGATTAAAATAATTTTGATCACAAATGAAAACACTCGCCTCTCCGCCGGCTTCCGGGAGTCCCGTCGGAGATCCGCTGACGTCACGGACATCGACATCACCGGACTCCTCCCCCCTTCCCCAAGTTGCTCCGTCGACTAACGATGGGAAGGGGGGAGGAATCCGGTGACGTTGTTGTTCGTGACGTCACCGGACTCCTTCCCTTTGTTCGCCGACGGAGCCACTTGGGCCGGTGAGTACTTGTTCTGCCCGAGAGCCAGCCAAGGCATTGGCCTATACACATACAGCAATGAAGTAATAAAATGTACTAGGATCACACTAATCCAGCACGTTATTTTTCTGAGTTGCCCAACTCAAGCGGCTGCCATATTGAGTGGGGCACGTGAGATTAATAACGTGCTGGATTAGTGTGATCCTAGTTCATTTTATTACTTCATTGCTGTGCTGTATGTGTATAGGCCAATGTAGTTGGATCTGCATGTGCGTTATAATTGAAATTAGTCGATTAAAAAAATTTAGATTAATCGAACACGAAAATTTTAATTTCCAGCCCGTATGTATGTATGTACACAATCTTATTGGGACGCCTGCCTTAACACGCACATGAACTCTAATGGCGTCCCAGTCTTAGTCCGTAGGGTTCAATATTGAGTTGGCCGGCCCTTTGCAGCTTCAACTCTTTTGGGAAGGCGTCTACAAGGTTTAGAAGTGTGTTTTGCTTCCACTTTGTTATAATACCACTAACAGGTGACCGCGGAATATTTAGTAGCAAGGAAATTTCACGGAACACCTGAATCCAATGATTTGGAGGGGTGGCACAATACTTTTGGCAATATAGTGATATATATATATATAGATAGATAGATATAGATATATAGATAGATATATATATAGATATATATATCTGATGTACTGATACTAATATCGGTGCCGATACAGAGTATTTGGACGAGTACTCACCCAAATGCTAAGTTCCGGTATCTGGAAGCCAGGCAGTGAGTCACTTGGTGATGAGGGAGCATGGAGCCTGGCTTCCCGGCCAATCGGGAAGCCAGGCGGTGAGTCGTTACACGTGGGCATGGGGTAGCCAAACTTCTGCCCTCCAGTTGTGGTAAGACTACAAATCCCATAATGCCTGTGTCTTTGGGAGTTGCCCACCCCTGTGTTAGGCAATGATTTAAAAGCCTTTCCAGGTCATCAATTGAGTTAACAGCAAATGATGGCCCTAGAATTATTGGTCTCACTCAGATGCTGGCGGCCATACTGAATGCGTAGCGCATACAAAATAGATGGCCCCTATGCATGCATTTGTTTGTGTGCGCACAGGGCAACAGGTTGGTTTGCAGATTTTTTTAATTATTTGCATTTTTTGTGACAAGGGGGCTGACAAGCCCCCTAAGTGATGGCATTGGCAGGTGCCAGGCATTCTTTATGACGACACCAGGGGTCTATTTTTAAAATATTCACAAAACCATTATCACTTCAAATGTTCATTCTTTGCGAAAAGAGAAAAAACTAACATTCTTAGATTTAAAGGAGAACTGTGAGGTGAGTGCTTTTCACTCATCCTCATAGTTCTAGCCGACCTGTGACAATGAAACTGTCACAGGTCGGCTCAGTAGATTGGGAAGTGAGGGAACACATACCGGTGCTCGCTCACTTTTCGATCCTGTCACGGCTCTCTGCCGTGACAGGGAGGGACTGGATTCTCCCCTCCCTGCTCTGATCCTCCAGCGCTGACTGGCGGAACGGACGGAGAACTATGGGGAAAAGTCCTGACCCCATAGTTCTCCTTTAACCTGAGAAGAAAATGCACAAATGTACTTCTTTCTTATGCTCCACAGCTACATCTAGTGGCCTCATTTAGTATTACATTGCATTCAACCTGAAAACAAAATTTATAATGAGAACATTATTTTTTGCCTCCATTCACACATCAGAAAAGGTGGACCAGTTAGCAAAAGTGAATTTAAAAATCAACTGAGCCGAGTGGAAAATGGCTGAACAGTCCTATTAGAGGTAGTCCGACAGCTGTGGGTGCAGTAATCGGTGTGAAGCTTTGCCTCCCTACAAAAGCTTCCTGTAATAAAGACAGGTCACAGCTCCTTTCTCTCTTTGTGCAGGGTGACTGACTTTGTCTCTACCCCCTCCTGTAATAAAGACTGGTCCCTGCTTCTATCACTCCTTGTGCAGGGTGACTGACCTTGTCTGCACCCCCTCCTGTAATAAAGACTGATTACTGCTGCTCCCTCTCCTTGTGCAGCGTGACTGGTCTTGTATCTGCCCCCTCTTCTAGTTGCTCTGGCCTTCTCCCTGCATAGGCTAGGTGCAGATGAGGTCACTGCTACTTTACAAAGTATAAACTGGGTTTATAAAGGCATTCGGTGCACACATATTGAAATATCCTTTATGGCTATTGAGAAATATATTCAAATAACATAATTGTGGCTTGACTTCAGCTTTTACAATGTAACAACCACCTACAGAGTTCACACATGGGGTTTCCACAGCCAGTAAACAGTTAATTAAACCAAACAGTCCAGGACTTTGCATTTACAATCATTATTCAAGTGTTGTATAAACTACAAACCAGAAGTCACACAAGCCGCGCCTTGTCTCTCCAGTTCCCTTCTCCGGAAACCTAATAACATAGTCTTACTTTGTATCACATCGGATCCATCTCCCCATTGCGGTTACACTTCTTCCACCTCCTGCAATCACACCTCCTTCCTCCGCAGCTCTTCTGTAGGAAAAATGGCCAGTGCAGTTTCACTCTAAATGCGGCAAGAATAAAGATTTGGGGCAGTGGAATTTTACATTTTTACTGCATCCAAAGAGAATGGCATTGCCTGTGACCATGGAAAGTGCTGACCATACCAATACAGCAGGATACCAAACCAACTCTAATAGGAATATTGCTGTCTGGAGTCAAGATATGCATTTGTAAATGCAATTTTAAAGTCCGTCCGATCCTCCAGCGCTGACTGGCGGAACGGACGGGAGGGGGCGGGTACAACTGGCTCTGCCTCTAGATAGGAAGAGCCAGCTGTCACTCATGCGGCTGGGTGGATCCAGACAGAATTGTCAGGATCCGTTCCGGCTGCAGTGGTCTCAGTATGGCGTGAGCTGTATACTGAGCTTTGAGTGACGGGAGGATGCTAGTTTGTGTCCTCCCGTTACACTTTGGAGAACTATGGGGAAAAGCGCTAACTAAACTATGGTGGTTCAAAATACTGTTTTTTCGGTATCGAGTACGGATATTTTTTTTCGGTACTAACCGATATTGGTCACATTAAGGAAGCCAGGCAGTGTGTAATGACTCGCCACCTGGCTTCCTGATTAGCAGGCCAGCATATAAAGACTCGCCACCCGGCTTCCTGATCAGTAGGGAAGCCGTCTTCATGCTCCCTCCTCATCGGGTAAAGAGACAGCATGGAGCTGGCTTTCTGGCCAATCAGGAAGCCGGGCAGAGTGTAAAGACTCACTGCCCGGCTTCCTTATACCAGAAACCTAACTATCGGGCCAGGAATCGGAGCATTTGGGCGTGTACGAGTACTCACCCAAATACTCGGCAACGTCACTGATACTAGCATTGGTATCGGTGCATCCCTAGTATGTACCTTTAAAACAGCTCTGGACCTGTAACCTGGGAGTGCTCACAGTCTCCAGAACAGGAAAGGAGTCTGTAAAACTGCAAGACTGGAGGGAAGGCCGGAGTTCAGCTTTAACCACTTTAAAAAAACAACAAGAAAATTAGAATAAAGAAGGTAAGGGGGACAACCTGCTACTCAGACGTGAAACATATTCTAGGTTTTTGTAACTAACGACTGTTCACATTGCCTTAGCTTAGAGAATGTGGTAAAAACTAATTTTGCAAAGAATACACAATCTCAAGCAGCCTATATGCCTTCATGTAAATCAACCCCTATGTTTCTATGCGCATTACACTGTAGAAGTAGGCAAGAAATTTTCTCCTTATCTGTAATGATCGCAGTCCAGGGCAATACCTTTAGATATTATCGTCTGTGCTTGCAGTGTCAACCTGATAACGTCCTTCATACAATAGCTAGCTCAACTCTTCTGTGTGACTTTACACTGGAAGACTTCCAATTTCGGCTCCAAACAATCTAGGCCACCATGCCCAACTGCCCCCGAGGAACTTGAATTAGCTGGCACAGCATTAGATAAATACATAACATAGAAAATCCATCCAGTCTCTCCAGCCTTTGTTCATGCTGTTGTGAAAAAAATATTGAGGTTTCTGTTGATGACCTTTCTCAATGAGGATACAAGTTGTCTGGCTGTCACTCTGACCCACCAGGTTGAATATTATCAGGCACTGATTAGAACAAGTATGCTCATAAAACCGCCTGACTTTATGCCTAACTTTCTTGATCATACTCTCATCCCGGATCCAAGTCAGAGGTATCAAAGAGAGTAGGTAGTCGTAGCAGCCACACAACTATCATTTTCATAAGGTCAGCAATTGCAGCCCTCATTTTTCTCCCATGAAAAGTTCACTTTAATTTGTTGTCCACCCTCTAAGTGGCTTGTTTTTTAACTAAAGCCAAAAGGAAATGTGATGCGGCACACAAGCAAAGGTCTGCTATTATTTCCTGGCTTACGTCTGGAAAACACAACAGCTTGTAATATTTGCTAAGCATCAAGTACATTCACATGGG